TTTTTTGTTTTGTTTTGTTGTTGTGTGTGTGTGTGGGGGGGGGGGGGATGGGATCGATGGGGTGATTCTGACCTGCCGCCGAACTTGGTTAAGGGGTTTCTAATGCCAAAAAAAAAAGGCTTAAAAAAATACTAGGACTTAATGTTCTTTGAGATCAAAAAAATTTGTGAATGTTGAGAAATCATTTCAAACCTAATATTTTTTATTGGGTTCTTTGCGAACTTCAAGAGATGTTATAAATCTTGATATTCATCCAAGACATCAAGTATCAGATATTGGGCAATAAATGTCAGTAAAATAGACATATATATTAAAAAATTATAGGAAAATATTGCCCTAACCCCTGAAAAAGATAAGAATTTCCTAATTACCCCTGTCCTATTTTTTGTTTCAAGCGGCATTAGAATTCTTGACAATCTTATGTCCCGGCCCCTACTCACGTCCCTTCCCTTTTCTTACTTTTTTTGGGCTTCTTATTTACCCGAGACAATTTCCTTCATTATTTTCAAGTTCTTTCCCTCTCTTCCCCTTTTATCCCTGTAATGGACCCCTTCTGCCCTACTTTCTCTGCTGATGCTCTCTCCTCCTCGTATCCCTCTAGCCGACCATGAGCTCTCTTCCCCCCCCCTTCCCTCCAACACACACACATGGACACTTGCACATACATGCTCCCAGTTTTACCATTTCTTTTCATTTATCTGTTTTTTTTATGCATTAACTAAAGATGATATGCTCTAGTCATGGGGTTTCCTAGAACAAGTTCTTGAAGTTTATTGCTAGTGTCAAATTTCCTTGTTTTCTTTATCCTCCTATGTTTTCCTTCAACAGTTAGATCTGCCGCATTTTCAATGCTGGTCTTGGTTTCCTTCTGCGGTTAGTAATTGTCCTGTGCTTTCCACCTGACCTCTCATTCTCAACATTAAGAGAGTTGATGCCAACCTTAGAATCAATTCATCACACTTTCATAATTTACTTCCTGGACTTTATTGACTTTAATATTTCTTCCTAACAAATATGACGATATTGAATACTGATTATGCATCCTTTACTCCAAAATATCCAAGATTTAATGTGGTTGAGTTTCTGAAAATATTACGGTATCAACTCGTGTTATTTCCATGATAAGTCTAAAGTTATGGATGGAATTAGTATTTCCTTTTTTTACAGATGAACAATATTAGCTGAATACTGGCATTCCTGAAATAATAAGGGTGACTTTTACTGTCCTGTATTTTGTTATATTTATTTTTAGTTGTGTTCGACTTATTGTTGTTATGTTTCAAAATTTTCCTCCTTTGACTTACATACCTATTTTCCCATTTAGCTTTTTGTGATATGGTCCATACCTACTTCAGTAGTTGTGATGCTCAGTTGTTGTTGGTGTCTATATTTATGTATAGACGCATATATGCTAGAACCCCACACATTGTGTTAATGTTAAAGACAGTGTAACATTAGGCCCATGGTTATAAAATCCATGGTTTATAGTCTAGTTGAGCTTGGGTACAATAAATCATGTTATGGCCCCTAACTCCATACTCGTAAGTGATTTTATGATGCGTTACTGATGTAAATTTTATGTCTTCACTGTTATTCCTCCCCTTGAAAGTCCCATCCATACTGCAATTTCCAGTTCTGCCATCTTTGCTGCTCAAAGTGTATCATGAAAGTGTACCATATCCATTTCTTCTCATCTTTGTCCTTGACATGTTGAACCATACCTTTTGTTTGCTACACTTTGTGCTGCTACCACTTGTTGAATGTTTTGATCCTGACTGTCATCATGTGTAGCATACTGTTCTTTATCATCACTGTTAGTACTTTTATCATCTCGACCTGTGGTAGCATACTGTTGGAGCTTTCTTCTTGGACACTTTATGGTTTTGAGACACTCTGGACCACATGAATTTCCCAAGTGTTATGGGGTCAGTTGGGAGTAAAGGGAAATTTATCAAAATAAGTTATCGACTATTTGAAGTTTAACGTTTTACCTATATCTTTTGATTTAATTTAAAAACACCCATCAAAATACACATGACCAAGAGTTGGAATAGTTGTAATTTGAAAAAGAGTAAATTGTTAATTGTTGAAAGGTGTATTTCTATAAATTCCTTGGTGCTAGTGATTGGACTTTTTTGGAATTAGGTGAAAACTGTGGGCTTAGGTGGAGATTTTCAAGTTTCACTTTAAATTTAGAATACTGTCCTGCCTATCCTCAACTTTGAATTAGCCAATCGGGCGACAGATATGGTCCATTGGACTTTGATCCAATCCACTGGCTGGATGTTCAGACTGCTCCCCAATGGGAAGCCTACTTAAGTTCAGACAATCAAACGCCTAGCAAGAAACCAGGATGATCATCCTTGTCAGAACTCAGAACATTCACCCAACTCATCCGCGTCACTCATTTCCAGCCTGCTTTTTCTTCCACTATCTTCACCATGCTTGCTAGCATTTGTTCTCAGGTCATTTTCTTTGATGGTTATATCTTTATTTCTCCATCCTCTCTCTCCATTCTTCACTTGTTTCCGGATCAAGATTCTCGTCATTTTCTGTCTCCAAGGGGCTGTATCGAGAGCTTGATCTTGACCCTTCATTCATCTCTTCTGTGGATCTGAAACCTCGTAGCCAGATATCCTCTTCACGCCAGATGTTCGGAAGGCCTTGTTTCTGGAGGAAGATCAAAAGCTGTTTCTGCTGATTTGTGTCTCATCGCATCATTTATTTCAATACAAGTTTTCTCAAGAAAAAGGTCTCTCCACTATTGGGTGGATTTCTCTGACTGGTTAGGTCCTTATCTGCTCCATTAATCTGCCTGCTGAATTCACTAAAGAAAGATTTCTACTGTCGTTTGCTTGGTGCCCAAATATGGAGCTCGTAATCGGTGCTACATATGGATTTTCCTCTATCCTGTGTCAATCAGGAGTTCTTTGGGAAGATTTGCTTCCTTGGTGATCTTTATGCAGTCCAGCAATGCGCCACAAACTTCAGGGTTGACACACAAGCCTTCAGAGGCATTTTTCAGCCTAGTTACGAATTTGCATCAGCTCTGGAGATTAATGCAGGCTGCTTCTCTTCTTTGGTAGCACTATCCATTGAAATCCGTCTCCTAATTGCTGATGCCATCTTGCAAGTGAATGTGTCATCCGCCAGTACTGCAGAGACCTTGAAGACTAATCTAAATCGGGTGGGTAGTGATTATAGGGATCTTCGGCAGCTTTTCCTCCATCCCGCCGTGGAGCTTCAAATTGCTTTTTTCAACAATTCTTGGCCCTCTTTTCTAACTTGCCAATGATATCGACTTTCCCTCGAGTAACACAAATCCATTCAGTTTGTGCTTTGGTTTGTTCTGTACAACAAAAGCTATCCAGCACCCCTGGAATTCGAGCTTTGCTTCTATATCTGTTCTTGGACAAGGATTACAACTGGCTTGCCAGCCTTTGATTTGGGCTGCGTGTCGCTTGAAGCCATGAAGCTTAGAGGCAGTGAGGGAGATCCAACAATACCGGAGAAGGTTCTATGTGCTTCATTGGTTTTAATGACTGTCAAAATGCCTGAAATTGTAAATATAGTCAATCTTCCTTTCAATTTGCACTGACTGAATATTTTTCTTGAGAAATTTATCATGGACATGACAGATGAACTATTTGACATTTTACTCATTTATTTTGATTTAGTTTCCAAAAGCATATCAAATACACATGATCACATGGTGGGATAGTTGAAAAATGGTAAAATACTAAATAGCTGATAAGTCAGGTGTATTTTGATAAATTTACTGTGTGTTTTTCTTGGTTAAGTGAGCATCAAATATTGGGGCAAAATTTCATTTTGGGCTAACGCTTTTGGTGATTGTTATTTATGGAGCATGGAAAGAGAATGAAATCCCCAATTTTAGCATGAGATTGTGAATTTTATGAGCCCAAACCCCTATATGAAAAAAAATGTCCTGGCCAAGGGCCAAGCCCTAAAGTTTATTGGAGTAAGGAAAAAGGATAATTTCTTACTTTAACTTAACCCCCAAAAAAAATCCTTTACAAAATTGATTCAACCTTTCTCTTATGGATCACTTTTATAAACGGCAAAGTAACTAGGGGTGGCAACGGTCGGATTGGATTGGGTCGGCTGAAAAGTATAGTGTGGGACCCTGACCCTACTAGACCTGATCCAAAAAATAGAATATATATGTATGTAATTATATTTAAATATATTTCATATATTGGTATTCAAAAAATATTATTGGACCAAACCTGTTAGGTCCAATTTTTTGACCCATACCCGGACCAGGATCGGCTCTAGCCCTGGTGCCGGTCCATTGCCACCCCTAAAAGTAACCATGTTGTGGTATTCTAATGTGAAGCCTTTGATGTGAACCGCAACCTGCATGCTCAAAACTCCGAACTTATGATTTGAATACATCATGGGAAAGAGACCTTATAGAACCTTCATTCCGGAAAACAATATTTAGTTAAAAGAAAATATCCTTTGACATTTACAATTGAATAAGAGGTCTTATATATGGAAAATTGTTTCATACGGGATGGACTTGCATTTCTACAATATGGGCCCAGAGGTATAAAATATCTATATTAAAGATGAATGCAAAAAGGTGATCCATCTAAAAACAAGTGTAATTAATAGTTCAAATGTTTTTTTAATATAATTATTATTTTTAGTTTTCAAATTTTTATTTTTTTCATATTCATAATTTTCATGTTAAAGATTATATATTTTCTAAAAATTAAGATCAAATTATATGAAAAATATATATTTATTGTCAACCCCGCATTTCTATAATAGTACCGGTTGGCCGCTCCCTTATATATTCCATTAGTACTCGAGTTAACAAACTTATAAATTATCCATTGGAACGTTAACACATTTTAGAGAGATTTAGTGCGTGTTTTTTCTTTTTCTTTGGAAATTGCAAGAGTTATTGCACCTGAGAGAGAGAGTCACTAAAGTCCTTCAAATTAGCCACATGAGCATTGTACGAGTTCGTTTAATGAAAAAGTTTATATCGAGAATCAAATTAGAGCCCACCTCAAAAATTTTATTGAAAGAGATCGTTTAAAATTTCACCGATGGAGGTTGTTTTGATGGCCAAATATCTTTAAATTGATCATCTCAACATCAACATCAAGATACATGGGCATGAGAAAAAAATGGATTTCAAGTTTTAGAAATAGTGCATCTTGAAATATATTTTTGGATCGTCAATTTTGAAGATTTTTGAAGCTTTCATGGATATGTTCGATCTACACTATTTTTTAAGCTTTAAATTTTACAATTAAATAGAAAAATGTATTTTAAAGTTATCACAAAGATTTCACATTTCTCATCTCGTCACCATTTGAAGGTGCGTTTTAATTTGATTGTTTAGAGCCTTCGCTCTATACAAACTGCACCCTTCTTTTAACTGCCCATTGGGATGTGAAAATAAGTTGCCACTTGATTGGCATGCTTTTTTTTTTTCATTTCATTTTTCTTTCTTATTTTTATAAATAATTTAAAGAGTTGAAAAATTGGTAAACATTGAAATCGTAAAAATTTAAAAATTTAAAAGGTGAATGTACAATATAGATAAAATTAGCTGTAGGATAAAGTGAGAAATGATTTTACCCACAATTTACTGAAGGATAAAATAATCATAAGAAAAAGACGCATAGGATTTTGGATGGTTTTAAGGGGCATAAATTATTTCTAAGAATTCAAGGTTACTTTTGGCATTTCATATTTTCCAGCATGCTTCTCACCATTGTTACCAGGATTGGCTGATCACCCGGCTGCCGGGTGCCGAGTTTTAGCCAATCGACTCAATCGTTTTTATCAATCGGACACAATAGATAAAGTTGGACAAATTTTTTTTCATAGTATAATTTATATTTTTAAGTTACTTTTTTTATTTTTATTTTCTAAAAAAATGATTGAACCAATTCAATTCCATCAAATTTGACTGGATTAGACCCTTGACCTACGTTGCAAATCAACTAAGTCCAGCTGGCGGCTCTTGAAGGCTTGATCCACACGGACTAGGTGTGGGTCTCTTCATATGCCCTGTTGGGCTAGGTTTAGTCTAAATTTAAGGCCCATTAGCTTAACGAGTTTGATCATGTTTTTTTCTGGCTAAATTACTAATTTGTTGCTTCAAAAGTTATAATAAAGCACAATTATACAAACTTTTAGTTTTAACGTGATGCAAAATCAAACCTGGTTTGATCTCTTAGACCTTGAAGGCTTTGTCTCACATAAGGTTCTTGGCTTGTATCTAATGTTGTTCGCCAAAATATTTTTTTAACCACACCTCTATCTTTAACCAGTTCAATGGCCCGTCAAATTCTAATAACATTGCTTTGACCGCAAAGCCCCTCTTCCAAGGGTAGGAGTCCCACGAATTTTAACCATACCAAATATTCGTGTAGGACATAAACCAAGACCAACGAACGATTATTCTGTTGTGACAAATATTGCTTTTTGCGTTTATACGACTTTTTTTAACAATTTTCTTGGTACTCCAGTGAACAAAGTTAGAAAAGAAAAAAATAATAGAAACTTAAAAAATTGAAATAATATTAGAAAATATTTGAAATGAAAAATGGAAAACTTCAACGACTGTATATATGCCTGAACATTTCTTAAAGGAATATTGTTTCATGCGGGCTTAATCGCATTCCTATACATACGGTCTAGAAAGTGTAAAGCATCCATCTTAAAGATGGATGCAAGTAGGTGTTTCATCTAAAAACAATAAAAACTAACGATCCACATGTTTTTTTTACTATAATTATTTTTTAAAATTTTTTTAATTTATTTATTTATTTCATATTCATGATATCCATGTTACATATTACATGTCTTTAATAATTAAGTCTTAAAATTCATCTCAAAAATAGATTTATTAAGAGGCCTGCATTTCTACACGGGCTTGGCCGCATATAAACCGGGTAATTTCTTAAATCCACAATATATTTTCTTGACGTTATATGTACATTTATGTACAACTTAAAGGAAATTATATTCACAGAAGGAAAAAACAAAAGGAGAAGATAATCCGATAATAAGAAAAATATTTATTTGGTAAGAATAATAATGCAAATATCATCTTCAAGTTTGGATTTAAAGTTTAGGAGAAGGGGTTCAAACCCTTTACAAAGTAAAAGATCGAAACATTAAAGGATTTATTTATTAATTTATATTTCACTCAGATGGTTCTTTAGAAAAATGTCTTGAAAAATACCCCCCAATAACCTTTTATTCAGAGTTGAGCACCCAAAATGGCATGTGAATAAACTTAACTACTTTGAACATGCAAGACTACTCCCATCATTAAATTGCCTCTTAGGTAGGTAAAATTCCTAAAATACTTCTATTCGATAGGGGCTTGCAGCCCGGATCGTAAGCAATTTGTACATTTTTTAGAATATTTTTAGATAAAGTACTTAGGTAAAATCATCATCATTCAAGCATTATCCCAATGGATAATTTAGACAATTAGTAATTTTCTTAAGCGGCAAACTGTGCTCCTCTCTCTATCTCTTTCTCTCTCTCTCTAAATCTTGCAATTCCCTAAATTTGGACCTAGAGAAAGATTAGACATCCAGAGCTAAATCGCCCTCTTCCCTTGAGAGTCTTAGGTGCAATAAATAATACTAAGAGTTTGGGAGAAGAGAGAGAAGTATTAGAGAAAAATTTCCTAGTTCCCTTATAGATAGATAGAACCTATTGCACATCTAGTAGAGAGAGACAGCGGTAAATTTCTCTCTTGCCCTTATAGAGAGAGAAAAAGAGCCTATTAGACATCTAGTACAAGGAAAGACAACTATTCCACATTAGAACGAAACATGTCTATTCCCTTTTAGAGAGAGAAAGAGACTTATTACACATCTAGCCGAACAAATCTCCCATGAGAGAGAGAGAGGGGGGTATTTGCACATTAGAGCAAAATTTGCCTCTTCCCTCATATATATATATATATCTTGTAGAAATTGACCAAAATCTCTCCCTAGAGAGAGAGAGAAGTGTTGCACATTCCCTCATAGAGAGAGAGAACTAAATCTCTCCCTAAAGAGAAAAAGAGAATATTGCACATCTAATACAAGTAGAACAAAGTCTCTCTTCCTATTCCTTTATCGGATCACAAATTGCCTAGAGAGAGAGAGAGAGGGCCTATTAATCATGTAGTATTAGTAGTGTAGAATTAAACCTCTCCTTTTTCCTCACGTTACATATTTCGAACAAAGAAACATTACATTGCACTAAAATGCCAGAAAAGAGGAGAGAGAGAAGAGAGAGCGTAGAGGGCGAAAACTAAGTAGCAAACCTTTGCAGCGCTCGAACGAGCAATCCACAGAGAGAAAGAGAGGGGGAAGAGAGAGAGAGGAGAGGGAGAAAAAGGGAGAGTACCATTCGTGAATCGAAGCTTTTGAAGCGCGTCTCGACACCGGAGAACACTCACTCTTCGAAGCTTACACAGGTCAGCGGAGCCTTAATTCCTCTTCTGCAACTCTCTTCTCACTCTTCTCCAAGGTTTTTACCTCTTAATTTTGTATCTTTTCTATTCATTTGTAACAATTTCATAGGGTTTTCACTTCCAGAAAAAAACCGTCAGAACCCCAACACACCAGCGATCTGTTCCTGTTTCTAGGGTTTTCATCAAGATCAACGCTTCCTGAATCATGGTTTGTAACCTATAGCAGTGAAATTAATCTGTAAATGAGGTTTTCTTGGAGTTGTCCCAGGGGTTCTCATGGCTTTTATCGCAAAAAGAAACCCTAGGCCTAATGGGTTTCTTCCGAGAATAGTGTACCCTCAATACCTCAGGATTTGACGAGAATTTGAGCTCTACAGTAGGTTTTGTGAGGGTTTGAGTTATACTGAGAGTTGGGGCTTTGCTCAAAACCTCTGGTTAAGGGTTTTTGTGAATGGAGGGGACGGGTACCATTGATTCTTGCATATTCTTTATTGTTGCCATTAAATCCTGCATTGCTTGATCGGTGAGTCTCGGGCTCCATTCCTAGGGTTTTGGCTAATTGGGTCACCTCAATTCTGGGATTAAATTAGTGGGTTCTCAGGCTTTTGCAGAATTGGAGCTCTAAACTTGTTTTTGAGATCAATTCCTCGATTTGTATGGACCCAATGAACTGAAATGCTACCCACTCAGCAACATTCGCGCATAAACACTGCCGAGGTTAAGGCCCTACTTGTCAAGAAGCTCGGGCCAGAGAAGGCTTCTCACTACTTTTATCACCTGAACAGATTCTTGAGTCAAAAAATCAGCAAGAATGAGTTCGAGAAGCTATGTTACTTGACTATAGGCAGAGAAAACCTCTCTCTACACAACCACTTAATCCAATCAATTCTTAAAAATGCTTGTTTAGGGAAGGTTCCACCACCCCCACCTTCACAAGATGCTTCTTCAAAGTCTGTCGAAGGCTCAACCAGAAAAACCCCTGTAATTTGGTCTAATGGTGATGCCTTACCTCCATCTCCTCGAAAGAGCAGGTCTTGTATAAGGGACCGAAAGCTTCGTGATCGACCAAGCCCTCTAGGACCGAATGGAAAGGTTGACATTGCCCCTACACATCAAGGGTTTCTTGCTGAAGGGCCTCACATCAAGGTGCTTGAGAATGGAGATGCTCATCTTTGTGATATGCAGAGGCCTATGGTGGCCCATCAAGGCCTTGCAGAGCGACCCGACAAAGATCGGGATATTTCATTGTTACCCAACATGAAGAGACCGCGAATGAAGAGATCTTCTCATGGTCCCAATTATGGCAGGGCTGCAATTGAAGTAGTTAATGTTGAAGATGGTGAAGAAGTTGAGCAATTAGGTTCCTCTACTAATCTCCCCACTAGAGCTAGAAGTCCTCTAAAAGCTCCATTAGGCATTCCTTTCTGTTCAGTTAGTGTGGGTGGTGCTCGTAAGGTCGCAATCAATGAAGTTTTGAGGGGGCAGACAAGTAGTAGTTTAGCAAGTGATTTGGGGGAACTATCGGATACTGATACTCTTAGGAGAAGGCTGGAGGTTATAGCTGAAGTTGAGGGTTTACAAGGTGTAACAATGGACTGTGCTAATCTTTTGAATAATGGGTTGGATACCTATTTAAAGAAGCTGATCAGGTCTTGTATAGAGCTAGCAGGTTCAAGGTCTGGTCATGAGCAAATGAAGCAAGTGGTTCAGAAGCAGCAGGTTCATGGAGGAAAGCTTGTACAGGGGATTAACGGGGTGTGGCCTAACCATCTCATGCATATACAGAGCGCTTCTGGTTCTGTGGAGGAGGTTAAAAACTGGTCTCCAATATCTCTGCTTGATTTCAAGGTGGCAATGGAGTTGAACCCACAGCAACTGGGTGAAGATTGGCCATTGCAACTTGAGAAGATATCCATGAGAGCTTTTGAGGAGGAATAACACATGGAACTTAAAGTTGGGCTTTCACCTTTGAGGACCGAGTTGGGTTCCCATCAACCCTAAGTGGAAAATTGAGTTGCTGACAGAGATTTGTGACTGAGATCAGGGAACACATTCCTCAGTTTGCAATGTCCTTTTGCAAAGGGCACTCGAACAGGCAGATACGGCAAAGGTATGGGCTTGGGGAGCTGAGCTTGTCTAGTCCCCATCAAGCTCATGCTCGCACGTTACCACACATTGAACCAGCAACCATCACATGGGGATTCCAAAGTGTTCCCATTGTTTGGTTGCGTTGTTGTATGTTTAATATTTACAAGAGGAGGAGTCTTCTGCCATTGCCGCAGGTCCTCAAGCTTCTGATTTTATGTAACATCAAAGCCATTGCAGAGAAAATTTTCTGACAGTTTTGCAATAGCAATGCTTTTCCTGTAGCTTGGTGAAGTTGTTTTCTGTTAGGATCGCGGTGATGTGCTTTATGTATTATGAAATCTGAAAATTGCTTCAGTGGTTCAAATAATAACACAGCCTCCCACTATTCTTCCTTGGGCAGCTGTAGGCTTTCTAATGTGAATCCTTGGGAATCCATCCTCTGAAAGTTCTTCTACTTCTAGTTGCATCATGTTTGGTGAGTTGCCCTCATCTTCTTTCTTCTTCTTTTTCTGTTTTTCATGTTGCTACATATCTGGATGAGTTCTCCTTGTGGCTTTCATTTTGACTGGGATATTATTTCGTGGTTGGCGTTTACATTTTTCAATTGGTTTTCATGATTGGTGTTGAATTTCTAAAGAATATATAAATTTATTTTTATAAAGGAAGGCAAAAAGCATATTTTCATACAAACATCCACACACATACTGAAAAGGTTTCCTGCTCTTGCGGGAGTATATTGTCCCTATGCTCTCACGGGTAAAAACTTACCTTGAAATGTTTTTAGGACCCCAAATTTTAAGGATGCAACCTCTTGAACCTAGTGACCAGCCTCACAAAAGAATGAAAAAAATCAACTGGACTAGCAAGTGCTTGAAATAATTGAGGTCAAAACATTGAACACAATCTGTCTAATTTTTGGACGGTTAGATCTAAGTTTTAAAAACTCAAGATCTATATTTTTAAAATTTTTTGAATCTAATCATCTGGTGATTGTTAGGTGGTTCCCAAAATTTCAAGTTGAAAAAATCCTCCTAGGTACCTTTTTGGCCTAAGGAGCAAATTGACACCATGCTCCCTTGGAAGCATAGAACACGCGCTATATATGCATACATACGTGTGTATGTATAATCCCTGGGCTAATATTGGAAGCACAAGCTCTCGAGCCAAAACGCCAGGCTGCCTTGGGAGCATACAAGTCGTGGAGGGCAAGGGCACACAGGGGATAGG